TGAAAAGAAACATGTCCTGTTTAACAACAGCCACTGTTCGCTATTGAAACAGCGAGTTGCAGCAACAATATTCATTTGCGATAAAGCGTTCTTAAAAACAATTTTTGACTAATTGTTTACAATTTTAGTGTTAAAAATACTATCTTGTTACTTGGCAAAAGATTTTAATAAGCGCGGTAAAAGAACAGGTTTTTTAAACAAAAAAGTAACAGGTTTTTTAATTTCTCATTTGCAGAAGTTGAATAAAAAATAACTTTTTGTCTCTGTGATATTTCAGGAATATCACGCGCGCATAAATTTTGAAGACAAGAATATATATTGCGTTTAAATACTTACATTCAAATATTTATTATGGTCATTAATTAGAGTCAGTTTGACCATTTCTAATTAATTGTGAAAGTATATTATTAGACGTACTAGTACACATATACATTTTTTGATTAGAAATTTACATTAAATTTAAATTAAAGTTTGCTCACATTGTTATTTGCTGAAAATTATGGTTTTAAAAAATATTATTACTAAAAAAGCTTACACGTTATTTGTTTTATGAAAATTTAAATATAAAGCATTTAACATGAGCATCGAAAATATAGATTGACTAATTGAAAATATATAGGTTGGCTATAGATCTAGAAAAAATGTTGAACTACTTAATATATGGACATTTAAGAAAATTGCACAATCTTATAAAGTAACGTGTACTATAAATTACACACTATAAAAGCCAAATTATCTCTAGTCGATAAAACAGAAGATGACTTGTATTAACCAGAGGTTGCAGATTGTATAGTAGTGTGTACCACTTGCCGCAAATACCTACAGTTACCTTAAACTCTTTCTAGTTTTCCGACTAACAATACAAATAATATACCTGAATAACAAAAATTTCAAGAAGTAAGCATATATATTATATATAGTTTCATATTATATTAAATTATATTTATAGAGAAATCTAACACAAAAACGTCAAACTAGACCAGTGAGTTCCAAACGCAGTTACCTAATGTGTGGGGTGCGTATTATAATTCATTCTGCATTCAAATATCTAAATTAAAATTCACGGTTTTTTACTCTTAATTTGTTTTTCTCTGTGCAAATGATATTATCTATGATATTTTATTAACTGTGATGTTTATTCAAATATATATATATTTCTTCGGAGAACCTTTCGAGTGAGGCAATAGAATAACGGTGAGAAAAGTTTTTGTGTGCGTATGCACGCGCACATATGTGGATACATATAATGATAATAATTCATTTATATACTATATTTATACTAATTATATATATATTTATATCTTTGTTTTAGAGAATGTAATTGTTAAAAATATAAATGTGTATATTTTCTAATATATAAAAAACTTTACATTATAAGACCGAAAAATTTTTTTATATAGATCCGTGTATAAGTTTACAACGCTAATGAGCCAGCTGACAATAGAAAATTCAAAACGACTTTAGATGATAAAAATTTGAGAAATACATTTTAGTAAAAATAATTACAAATTTTTAAAAATAAGCTATTATACATATATTTGACGATCTAAATATATATTTGTCCAAAAGTTTAGTAAAATTAAGAAACCACGTGTTGTAAAATACAAAGCTTCTTATGGTATAATTATTTAAAAAAGAAGACACAAGTCTTATGAAGATCTGTAAAAATTTTATTATCTGCATTTTTGGACACAGATCAAACAAAATACTTGAAACTCCGACAAAGATTACTAGACGCTAAAAATGTGATCAATACCACTCGATGGACAAATTGACACAAGAGTTTGAAGATATTGACGGCACATAATCTATTCAGACTAATTCGCGCCACTCGAAGATTCTTCTGGTTTTTGAGTTTTGCGAAGGGAAATTACGGCAAATCGACGCTGCTTGTCTTCTCTGGCAGAGTTTTCGATGTGGCAGCCGCCGTTTTATTTATAGTGGAGGAGGTCGCAATGCGTTCCAAAAGCTTCTCGACTCACTCAGTAGCACCAGCACATTCACACTGAGCTCGTCCCGCATCGGATCTTAGAAAATTCTCATCGTTAATCCGCGGATATAAGAAAAGAAAAACATCTTTCAAAAATCGCATTCTTCGTCGTGACGAGAATTCGAGTTCGTTGTCTCGATCGGAGTTCTAGAGCCCTCTGGGAAATCAACACGTGACTTCTGTACTGTCGTAGCCGTATAGCGGAGTGATCGATCTGGTGTTAATACAGTGCAGTTGAAATTTTACGTGACGGACGACATTAAAAAAGTGACTCGGTCTATTGATAGATAGATTGATTGAGGATCTAGAGGTGCATGAAATGCAGCGATTAATCATCGTGTTAGGGTTAACATTTCCTGGAATTGTTTACTGGATCGCACTAATTTCATAACCAGGTTTCTGAATCATTCGGAATCCACGTACCAGAAGCCGTTAATGTGTCATAACTTATTTTAACCAACAATTTGCTCAAAAAAAAAAAGTTTTCAAATTTGGACGAAAATATACGATTTAATGTAATTGCTAACTTAAAAAAAAAAAAAAAACACAATTCAATACTTTTTGTTAACATAAGTCAATTTTTGTTTTACTGATGTAATTATATGTAAAAAATCATGAAATTTGACCAGAAAAAAGAGAGAGGGAAAAATCTTGGAATAATTTTATAATAGTTACGAAAGTTATTAACTGAAGTTCCCTGATTTTGTTGATAGTCTCAATCGGCGAAAAATTATTACTGATAAGTCAAGGTCAGGGCTAGAGATTTATGTGTCTGATATACTCTTGAAGACGTCACAGACTAACTTGTAGGCATCGATCCAAAGATCGGGTGATGTTCAAAGTGTCCTCAGTTTTCAAGAGAGGTACAACATAGTGCCTGATAATATCTGCTTTCCCTACTAAAGTAACATCATTCAGTAAAGCGACATTATAGAACTTTATACATAATTAGCTGTCAAACTGAAAATGAGGATATTGGAAGATATTAGATACCAGAATTAACATTCGCGAAACTAGAGAAGTTTGATGAGGTCAGAAAGGAGTTTGTGAGGTCTTATATATATACGCAATAAAAACAAAAGTAATATTACAATTTATTAATAGCGGTGTGCGCATGTGTGCAAAGTAAACTTCAACAAGTCCAGTAAATAATTCTAACTAGAAAATTGCTTTTAGTCGACTAAATTATCGTGGAAAATAAGTTTAGTTCTCGAGCTTTCCTAATCAAGTGTTTGAATTGATGGGTAATCCTGTTTCAACGCATCTCTTTCACATGGAACTCGCGTGTGCCGTATATCTGTGCTGGATGGGTTAAAAAAAAAAAAAACTAGACAGTAGAGTGTAATAAATGCGGCTTCGAATCAGGACTCGACGTACCTGGCGCCGGAAATCGATGGACTCGCGAAGCTGACGAAAACTGATCTCTGGCCAATCGAACAGATCCGTTCTTCTCTTCAGTATCAACGACAACGTCACAGGTTTTGATCGATCTTCGTTTGGTTTTCATCGACTTACGTCTATCACCATGGCACATTTACGAAAACCAGCGAAACGGGAGCATTACAAGCCATTCGGACGAAGAAGGGTAAATCGAATATTATTTTCACGACATTGCCGCTTGCTCTATATTAACGGTAACGTAGTACGACGATTCGTATAAATATCGCCGGTCACAATTCTATTTTCGATGCGAAGCGACAGGATGTTCATGTAGCGCCGAAACTTTCTACAGAAATAGCAACTATGTCCTTCGACCATTGATGGTCCTCGCTATCGCAATAACTGCCAAATACCTTAGCTACATCGGATTATTTGCATTTCTGGAATATCAAACTTGGAATGTTTAACATGCGGTTGACTGGCATTGATAAAAATATCCGTTTAAAGGGGGTAATCGTAAAACCGATATGGTATATGTTTGAAACAAGTCGATACATGTAAAATGTACTTTATTTAAGTACACTAATAATTCGATTGGTTTAACACAGTTTATCTGTCTTTTTTTATAAGTTTATACTATATAGAGACATAAAAGCAATTCGATTATTATTATTTGCAATATCAGATTTCTACAAGATGTCCTGCAGTTTTCGATTCATTCGAAAAATAAAATTGATGTCTTTTAAATAAAATAAAAAATCAATATCTTTTAAATAAAATAAAACAATGAAAAATGTCAAGCGCAAAATAATATTTGCCAGAACAATAGTGTTGATTGTAACTTAACTAGATCCACGAAGGCAGTAGATTAAAGGGAAAGCGACACGCACCATGCGTGACCTACATGTATGGACGACCTAGATTTCAAGGTGAAATTGATTGGCAGAAAATAGGTTATTCCTTTATTTATTATTTTTTCTATTTTGCAACTCGCGTAACTGCATCGTACTTTGATTATATGTCAAACGACACAAATTTCATCTCAAACGTATCATTTTCTATATCAAACATAAAGTTTTATAAAATTTTTCTGTAAAAACAAAATCTAATATTTTATTTTTTTAAGAAAGACTTAAAAATTGATTTACATATCGAGCATATGATATTTTGTTTTACATTGCGTGAATACCTCAAGTGGTTTAATGATTAACCAAAATATATAATCATCATACAAAGAACATATTTACATAATTACTCTTTTTATATAAACAATTCCTTCTTTTTTTCTTTTTCGCAATTTATTATTTTAAGCTTTTCTATTTTACATTGTCGATCATATTTGAGCAATGCTGTAGCGACGCGAAACGTGTACACCGGGTGGTTGATAGGACACGTTGCCATCAGGGAGCAGTGGCCTGGCGGTGTCGCACTCCGGGTGGTTTGCGGAGGAGGACGCGCGGCGGTACGGAGCCGAGAAAGCGGCACCCCGCGGATCGATATAGGGGGTGTCGTCCGACCATCTCGCGGTGGCGCCCGCGTGCGGACGAGTCGCAAAACGGACACTATCACCGGAGTAACGGCGACCCGGCCAAGAGTACGATTTGCGAGAATCATGTAGTGTCAGTGCGCGCAGACACCGCCGACCAATCGCTCTCGCGGGCTCCGCGTCTATCCGTTACTACCCCGCAGGGGTGAAAGCTCGCGAGGGTGAAAACTCGCGCGTGTCGTGGATACGCGTGACACTACATACGAGAAATATCATTATTCAGAAACAAAGGGTTTTTGTTTTTCCTAGTGTAATTGAGAAAATTTTTATTCTTGGGAAAGACAACGGTTTTGTTTTTACAGATATCATATTGCCATGTGCTTATGTCATGTTACGGCATGTAATATGAGACGTTTATAAAATATCTGAGAGATAAAGTGCTATCATGTTGAAAAAGAGAAAGAATTTTCGCAAGACCAAACGTGACTTGTCTGGTGCTTACAATTAGACGGGCACGAATGAGGGTTTGTAAAGAGTGATACAAAAATGTGTGTAATGTGAGAATTAATAGGACAAACGCAGGCGACTACAGGTAAAAATTGATAAAACCGGCTCGAGTTATTTGTCGATCGACTGGCGAGCTGGAACGTGGAAACTATACTCGAGGGGTTGCATGATGTCGTTGACCTGCTTCCGGGCGCCACAGTGCTGCGGTACAACATCGGTTTAGTAGCTTTGGTGTGGGTCAAGATGAAGAGTTTCGATTTGTAAAGTGAATCTTATTTGCGACTTAAACGAGAAGGAGATGACATATTTTTTTCAGCGTCTCATTGATGTTTTTTTTTCTGAGAGTTTTCACAGATTAGCAACGACTTTATAGAGAAAGCTTATTGATCTATGAAGTTATAAGTTTTGATCTAATTTCTGTCTACTTGTACAATATTATTGAGAAAGAGGTAAAAGAGATTCAAATTATTTTGCCCTGAAGAATACTAAAATTAATGAGACCGACGGTTATCAATCGTTTCTGTTTACTTAGTTGGAGATTAAATTAAAGAGAAGAGATTGTGTATACAGTTTACACAATCGCTTAAAATTACTCATGATAAAAATGTCTTAAAGTTCGTAAAATTTTTTAACAAGTTTTTCCGTTGTTTTCAGAACAAATATATTTAATCTAGTTTATTACAGTTTAATATTTTTTTCAACTCATCTACATTTAATTATTTTTTTACTCTCCGTATGTTAATATATTTTAATTTTAATTGCATGTAAATTTCTCAATTAAATTAGAAATTAGGAACCGATATCTAATTGCAAGAGGGTTAATGTGTCGATTATATAGAAATAAACTTGATAAATCAGAAGTCGACTTCTCCTCGAACTTTCGAATAATTGAAAGAGCTGAGATCATTTTCAAAGTTATTTTTGTGTTGAATTAATTATTAGACTGACGTGGTGATCAGGGAATTGCGTGATGACACTCGACGCGTAATTCTTTTCCAGAAGATCTCTTTACTGTTCTAATTCAATTTTTCTACTTTCTTATTTGCAATATTTATGTTTTAGGGATGGCACGTTTCGTATTAATAACAGATGTAGAAAAACCTTTTTCTATGTAATATAAATAAGTTATAAATGGACTATTAGAAGTAGATGTTGTACTTATTCACTAAGAAAATTAAATATTCAACTCTTATCAATATTATCAATACTTTATATAATATAAATTATGTAACATAAATATATACGCAAGTTGTAAATATTTTTAGATTATTTTAACAATTACTTTACTTGATATAATATATTTTTTAACTCTTAAATTTATACATTTTGAAGAAAAAGACATTTTGAGAGTGAAATAGATATAGGAAAAATTTTCTGATAAAAAATTACGTTTTCTTTAATTCTGTTGAAAAAACTTCATTATGACTAAACGAATAATAAGTAATAAAATACAGAATTTTAAAATTGTTCTGCCTTAAAAAAGCCATCATTCAAAGTTATATATAAATATTACTTGTGCGATTGTCGCACAATTAATGTCTTTTATGTGTGATCTTTCTTTTTTTTTTATGTGTGATCAAAATTTCCTAATAATTTATTTTTGAATATAGGCTGTATCTGAAGCATGTAAACAACCGATTTACATAAGTGGTATCATCGAAAGTAACCCCTGACGTTCTCTAACTCAAGGGCTCTTTATAAACCGAGACAATCAGCTGAAAAGTTTGTTGTCTAATCTGTGAATAAACGTCAGATAAAATAGACCGTCATCGATTTAATCTCGCTCAATTAAAAGCCTTAGCACACGTCTCTCTAACCAGAAGAATCTGTTTTTATTTCTATCGCTATTGTTTTCAAACTCAACAGTTTATAATCTTCAAAATGACAAATGTAAATTTCTCATTGTTATGCTCGCATTAAATCACACGATTATGCGACCCAATAAAAATTATCGAGTATTGCAACCAATGTAATTTTCAATCACTTACGATTGCGTGAATATGTTAGATGTATAGACGCTGATCGCGTGCACAAGTAGTGCAAATTTATATCAGTCGAGTCGTAGCAAGGTTTCTCGAACGAAAGCCGGTTTGTAAACGTAACGTCACTTCGGTGAAGATTTAATGTTCAGAATGTTTACAAATTACTGAAAATCGGTAAGAAACAACAAATCTTTATAAATTAATGGTCTCTCTTTTTGGTTCTCTCTTCGATTCGAAATATATTGAAAGTATATTTATCCTTAATATTCTTTAAAAAAGAAGTTTTATTAAAATTGGAATATAATTACTATTAAAACTTTTGTAGGATATTTTATTATAAGTGTAGATAAAAGCTCTCGGAAGACTAGATTCACTACTCATTATCGTCGCGTTGATGTTATACGATAGTTTTATCTCTATCATATCGTGATCGCGCGTGGAATTTATTAATGCTTCGTGCTTACGTGAATATGTTTTGATACTGTCGTAAAGCAGATAATTTTAGGAAGAGTGTCATCAACTTCTTCGTAGTACTTCGTAGTACAAGTAAATTTTAATCAGATTAAATTATAACACGGTTTAATTATAGTAACTTGGAAAAGAAATCTATTTTCCTTTTTCCATTTTTCGCTTTCCTAATTCTAGAATATAATAATGTTCTTCATGATATATAACACGACGTAGATAAAAAATATTGTGTTTAATAAACAATTATTTCAATCAATTACGCCTGCGTTTGTCCACTTTTATCACGTCTGCTCTTGTCTTCCCTATTATCTTTTGTACAATGTACTATATTGCAGTTGACCCTAATTCAGACTTAAATTGAATAAGAAATGACTGTTTTGGATCGGATCTCCGTCATGAATATGAAACGCACTGCAGCCTGTCGTCATAAAACGGCGTTGACCATTACTCGGAACTAGATTGAGATTAGTTTGTTTGGATGGCTTGCAAACGAAAACGAAAAAAGTGAGACACGCGCTTAAGGAAATTTTTGCAAGCATTGTGCCACTGCGCCATTCAACATGGCGTAGCGGGCACAAACGCTAATAAATCAGTGCGATAGACAAGAGTTTTTGACAAGAGTGAAAATAGTATATTAAACTTGCACACTAGCATGTGTGCTCAGCGAGAACTTAAAGGGTCGATTCAATAAGATTCGGATCTCCGAATCGGAGCTAAAGAGGATTAAGCACCGTCAGAAGAACACCATCATAACTGTGTTCCATGTTGGTGACTCCCGGCGATGATCGGGTACAATCAACACAATTCCGGCTACAACAAGCTATTCACTCAGGTATACTGAGAATAAAATCCTTCGAATGTGTCCTTCTATCTTTTATTCTTTTGCGCTTTTTAAGATTTTTTATTAAATCTTGTTTATTTTAATTTTCTCAAGGACGTATGAGTGTGTGTGTGTGTGTGTGTATGTAATAAAAAAGAGATGTGAAATAAAATTATATATTTATACAATGAAGGCGTGACATGACGTGCACGTTTATTTTTCCCCATCAAGAGATATTGTAATTACACTTAAGGGATCATCAAGGGATGTAGGTAGCGAGACCCTTTCGTATAAAAATAACTGATTGCCATGACCGCACTTTGAGCAAGGAGGCGCGAGGACGAGAAATTCGAACTACGTCAAAGACGCGCCGCTTCCTAGACGTATAGAATTTTCTATAGCGTATCGCGTTTAAGGCTCACATTAGGTAACGTGGCGTGAAGCACGACCGATCATCCGTGCGAGCCGTCGTTGCAGCGCAGCGATGATTTACGGATTTACGTTGATCGCGCGCTCGATTGAGATTCGCTTTTTTTTTACAGTGAAAGTTAGCTCCGCGCTCGGACGACATGCTCTACTGGCCTTGAAGTTCATCCTCTTTGTCCTTGATACATTTTTCTTATATTCCGGATACACATCTTTCAAGACGTTATTGATGAGATTTTGAGGCACAAAGGATCTCGAGTTCGCTCCTTGAGTGACATCAAACCAAAATTTGAACAACTTGTTATCTTGATGTAAAAATGAACAAAAACCGATCGCGTTGACATCGATGATTAATCTCAGATTTTTTCAACAAACGAATTAATTTTCATACCGATTTGAAATGTTTTACGACCACGAATATTGAGCGAGAAAACGTAGCGTCTTTCCGTGCTCGATTAATTCATTTAATTTCATTAGGAACTAATTAACGCTTGTTAGATCGATTTTCTTTGTTACGTGAGATTCTACGTCGCTGCTTGTAGAGCGTGATAGACGTAATCAACTGCGTCGTAGGGCAGTTTATCATTCACGGTCTTGCGGACAAAGTCATAGTTAACTTTGTTATAGTCATAAAAAGTAAATGTTGTTTATTGTTTGTTGTTGTTCACAAGAGGGATGAGACTTTTTTTGGAACACATTATAGATTTTGAAAACATTAAAAACTTTTATCACCTTAAAATATTATGTACAAGCACGAACGAAGATAATGTAATATCTGAGGTTTCATGAACTGTGTTTCTTTAATAATATCTTTTTAATTTCGACAAGTAAGACCACATACATTGTATGTAGAAGATTGCGAAGATATTCGAATCAACATGCAAAATTTGCTCTTAAGACAATTAATTTACTATAAAGAAAATAAGAGAGTTGTATATTTAATACTTGTGCATAAAAATAAATAGTAAATAGTTCTTTGTATTTGTTCAATTTCAGGGCTCGGCGGACTCGAACTACTCGCAGCCGAGCTCGGATCTCTCGCTGGACGAGGAGAAGGAGAGCTTTCGACGCGAGAAAGAGAGGCAGGCCCTCGAGCAACTCGAAAGATCAAGAGTAAGTCATTGATCCTCTTTGCGATCCAATTTATTCGCGTTATGTCGCGTCAGTTTTTGCGTCGTTTTTCTTTTCGCGCGTGCTGGATTTACTTATCGATTGGAGGAGTGTTTTTTTTTCCATTATTTTTGCCGTATTTTACAACCGCGTCATAAGCACGTAAATGTCCATCAGAAACGACGGAATTAAATCCACGTGCGATAAAGCGCAGTGCCGAGAACAAAAAGCGAAAGAAAAACGAACAGGATGTAGCTCTCGGCGAAGTGCCAATCAGAACTTCACGTAACTTTCCGCGCCTGTAGCGCAGCAAAGGGAGAGAGAGAGAGAGAGAGAAATTTATATGAAAAATACGAACCCACATCTAGCTTTCGTATATGAGAGCGCGTTGCAGCTTTAAATGTTTAAGTGCGACAGAGTATATATACATATATATATATATATACATAATGCCAGCGTTCACGTACAGTGAAATGGTTTACGATGAGAACATGAGTGGCATTTTTAGATATACTTTGAGCATTTTTCGAGATTTTTAAAAATTTTTTAAGAATACAAATACTGCTTTTGTAAATGTTCAGAGAAATATACAAACATATACGTAAACATAATTTTTGTTAATAATAATCACAATTGTTTTCCATAAAAAACACATTACCTCTTTACTCAAAATGTAATTATCTTATATCTATGTTATTAAATTATTGTGTATTAATTTATTTATAACATGTACTCGTGATGCACGCATTTGTTTTATAAAATGGATTTTGTATTTGTAAACAAAATGGTTGAGACCAAACAGCGCAGTAAATGTTTTATGATAGATTACGTAACAAAGGCTATACAAGATTCGAATGACAGGTGGAATTACGAGATAGTCGCTAACGTCAAATACGAAGTAACTGATCGAGTTAGTTCTCTTCGACTTAGCGGTGAACGGATATTGATTGGCGAGGGACGACCTTCGAGGATAAGCTCGTCATCGCAATAAAAATGAGAGGCTCCGCATCGCCGCAATACATAACGCTTTTTATTCTTTTACTACGACGCGCGACGGTGTTGTCACTGGCAATGCGTTGTCCACGCACAAGCTGACAATGTGTCGATCGGCCGTGAAGCTCGTCTGCGGGCGCGGCAATGTGACCGGATCTTATTTTCCACTCCGCACATGCGATATAATTATCCGTGTTTGTGTACATATCGCGATATAGAAGCTGCACCGTGACCCGATAGAAAAGTCGATAACACGGGCAAGGGGGCGATGATACGTAACTAAGCGCGATGGTACGCGACGACATCGCATTTGTCATCGAGGTCGATAATAGTCAATCCCCGCAACCAAATACAATCACGAACAGATTGCTACATATAAACCGAATGTTAAAAACATAAAAATAATACCAATACTTTTTTTTAATGATTATTTTACTTAAATAGAACAGTATACAATTACTGTCCGTAACTGATACAATGTCTTTTGTTATCGCGTGACTAGTAGAAAATTTCAAAAATATCTAAATCGTTTATCGATACACACAAAGTCAAGACATCACAATCGTTCAAATTGTTTTTTTCAATTTTTGATTCCAGTCGAAGCCGGTAGCGTTTGCGGTGCGAACCAACGTGAGTTATGACGGATCCATCGACGATGATTCACCCGTTCACGGATCGGCCATCAGCTTTCACGTTCGTGACTTTCTTCACATCAAGGTGCGCGAGCACACACTGTGTCTCATGAATATTTCTTTTGTATTAAAAATAATAAATTCTCGTACAAAATTTGTGTTTCACTCACAATCTGCGTTTCTATCTTTAGGAGAAGTACGACAACAACTGGTGGATCGGTAGGCTCGTGAAAGAGAACTGCGATGTGGGTTTTATCCCGTCACCGGTAAAGTTGGAGAACTTGAGATCGCAGGCGACCGCTTCCCGTGGCACGCGTCTCTACTCGACACGAGGAGGGTCTTCAGGCAACCTTGGCGAGAGTGGTATGCCCTCACGTGGTTCCACACCACCTACGCCAGGTATCCTAGCACGTCCTTCTTTCTTTCCCCCGCCCCCTCCTCAAAATTCACGTTATACGTACCCAATTTGGTGTACTTGATTGGGAACTTCCTCAGCTTGATCCTCGACAGTGAATTACAGGCGGACGGATCGTTGCTACTGGCGGGTCGTAAAAAGACATGTGAATACAAACAATAATATATTCGCTTGAGGTCCTAAGTATCCACTATTTCAGACACATAAATACCAGCTTCCAATGCTTATATCCCGATTACCACTTTAGATCGCGATTTCCGTATAGCCCGCAAGTAAATAAAAAATACTATACTGTTATATAACGTAATTTAAATATTACAAACAATTTAAATAACACACACGTATACAATACATTTATTTGATTTTAGTACAATTCCAAATACTTTCTTTTTTTCTTTCTTGCGGTCTACACGAAAATGCGAGCTTCTCTATTTTTGCTCTCGCGTGAAAGAGATTGCACATTATTGTTGCTCCCGCTTTACCACATCCTCTATTTATTTCTGTCTCATTGCTAAAAGTCATTGGAGGTAAGTCACCGTAATCATTCCACTCATCAAGACATACGCGAGTTTTTTAGTACTGCTGTAGCTAGCCGCTACTATAAGCAGAAACACGAGCCTAAATTAGTGAATTATATCTAACTGCATCACATCTTTTGAGTGCTTCTTAATAGCTTCTTTTGAGAGAAAGAAGGACTCGTTTATCGTTCGAGATGCAGACGTGATTTTAAGTAAATCGAATGTATTCTTTTGACAGGTGACGAGAGCGACACTGTTGGGAACATGAGGCCTGGCAAGGCGACACTTACGACCCTGCCTGCTAAGGAGAAACGGAAGAACTTCTTCAAGAAGCCGGTAAACGCCTGGCGAACTACGCTGTCGCGAATACCTAACGCAATATTTGCACAGTTTGAGCTTTTACACTTGTGTGATCTGGTATTCGTGCACTAAATTAGTATGATATTCATTTCACATATGTGTTATACAATAGAGAAATCTCTTAAAAGTCAAATTAATAGTGCAAATTATCTGTGCGATAAGCTTAAAATTAATTTCTCCGATAAATTATAATTTTTACAATTACGTATTTTTCATATTCTCTTTGCATTATGTGATGAAAATGATTATACCAGTTTGGTGTACATAAATAATATCGATCTATTTGTGCATCTTAATAGATTTGCAACTCTAAGCTTCGTCCATGTCGAAACGGTTTTATTTCCAGCAATATTACACTTTTATAAATGTGTGTTTTGTGAAAATTTTCTTCGATTATTCACACAATTAGAGAAACTTTACATTTTCTATACATTTCTTCTAACATAATATATTTAATATTTCTATGCCAATATACCACCCACAGAGAATAAAAGAGTTGTGCGTGTGCGTGAATGCGTGCGCGTATGTGCGTATGGTGTGGTGAAAATTAATATTGACGCCAAACATTTGGTCAATAACTAAAAATACGCTTTCACTATGGACGTTGCCTAAGACGTTAAATTTACCAGTCGTTAAAGAAACAGTGCGACTATTTCTCTAAATTTATAACACTTTGTGTACCTATTCTTGCACACACATGTTTGCAACTGTGTATATATTTATAAATTTGCATATATACTCGCAGATAATTTTTGGAATTACATTCTCAGAGTTTGAGAAGATTACAATTTACGTTTCTTTGTTGAATTTGGAAAGTCTTTTTCGAAGCGACTGGTAAATAGTAATCACGCATTTTTACTATAACACAATGTTGCTTAATTTTTTCGCCATTTACTGCGCGTACAGCGTTCGTCCAGCGATCGTCTCTATTCGGGGCCGCGCGTGGTGAAAATCACCATGTGGTAAAATCTAGTCGAAACGATTTAGTTTCTTTATATAGCAGGCCGTTAACACCTTAGCTCGATATCGTAGTTACTAACATGCTGCTTGGCCAAAGTACCTTCGGTGCATTGAAGAGGATGTCTCGCGGGCGTTCGTACGTTCAGGGAAGGACTTTGGCCGTGCAGGAGGTCGCATGTGTCAAGTCGACGTGGCCATTAACTGATTTCAATGTTTCAATGTTGCATACCGTGCTCACGCAGTCCTACGTAAGTGAGACTATCCTGGGGCCGATATTGGCAAAACGGAATTTATCTCGATTGATCGGACTGATCGTTTGCTTGAATTTTCAGGAGACGACAACCCCCTACGACGTGGTACCGTCTATGAGGCCTGTGGTGTTGGTAGGACCGTCGCTCAAGGGTTACCAAGTGACGGATATGATGCAGAAGGCGATCTTCGATTTTCTCAAACATCGTTTTGACGGCAGGTCTGTTTCTTCACTCACATATCGAGTCTCGCTGTCGGTCTTACGCGAACTTAACTTTTATCCGACAAACAGAAAAATGAGATTCTTGATATAAATCTTATTATTGTAGGATAATTATTACAAGGGTAATGGCTGATATTTCGTTAGCAAAAAGATCTTTGCTGAACAATCCAACTAAAAGAGCAATTATGGAACGGACGACAAGCAGAAACAGTTGTTTAGTGGAAGTTCAGCAAGAGATCGAGAGGATTTTTGAACTTGCCAGAACTCTTCAGGTTTGTAGGAACTACTTTAAAATAACACTAAAAGTTTCTCTGTATTTTTTACACTTTACTTGATTTAATATAAATATTTATTTCACTATATTTTATATAAAATGTGCATTTATTTGGAATTTATTTAATAAATAAATGTTTTTTTGAAGAAAAGTTAATCGACTTTCTCACGCAATTACAGCTAGTTATTTTGGACTGCGACACAATCAATCATCCGTCGCAACTGGCAAAGACCAGCCTAGCGCCGACGATCGTGTACTTGAAGATTACCTCGCCGAAAGTACTACAGAGGCTGATCAAATCTCGAGGAAAGTCGCAGATACGTCACCTTAATGTACAAATGGTGGCCGCGGAGAAGCTGGCTCAGTGTCCGCCGGAGATGTTCGATGTCATCTTGGATGAGAATCAGTTAGAAGATGCATGCGAACACGTGGCCGAGTACCTGGAAGCATATTGGAGAGCAACACATCCGCCGGATTTCTCGACGGTTCCGCGTGCTGTGCCTACACCTGATGCACCGGCGGCACAACGTGTGCCATCAGGTATTAATTTGATCAGTCAAAGATTATTAATTAAGTTCGTAAATTTTAAAATTAATATATCTGCAAATATTTTGTGTACGCTTAAATTTAAGTTAAATTATTGTTTCTTTTAAAATTCTATATTTTTCTTATAATTTCAATTTTTTAATTTTCTCTTAATTTACGACATTATGTGCAGACTGAGATCTACAAGCTTATAGCACGAAATATTTGCATGTCAACAAGAAAATATCAAATAGAAAAAATTTATTTTAATAATATTAGTTATTTTATTATTAATATTGGTTAGAGATATTTTTGTTTTATATATAAATAATTTTGAGACACAGTAGAAAAGTTTTAAGTGCCATCGAATAGAATACCAGTGTTTTCGGGAGTTAATATTTCGGTTGTTCTTAATGGTTTTGTGGAATCCGTCCAAAACTGTGAAAAACAATGTAAAGCCGACGATGATTTACGACGATATATCAGTTTTGGCAGCAACATCATCGTACACGACGCAAATCGACGCGTAGTATGTCGATTGATGGTTTTGGCTCTGTCAACCGGAAGTCGGTCTCGTCTCCATATTTGACAATGTTCGAAATTATTTAGAGATCGAAATACCGACTTCAAGGAAATTGTCGTCATGTTGTTGCAAAGAGAGTATATTAGAAAAATAGTTAAAAAAATTTTATTAACTTTAATCAAGAGATTCAAACATTTTATAATATTTGATATCGCATAAATTTGTCTTAAATATTCCTCTTTCAATTTCCTGATCCTTATTCGTGCTTTTTAGCTTACTCATAAGTCTAACAGAGACCCAATTTCGCTACTAACACTCGACATTTTCTTCTTGTCCTCTCAGGTGTCCCTAATGAATCTTACTATCATCGAAGAGGTAATCTAATATTTCCCTCAAGAGTATTTGCACTCTTTCTCTCGTCTTCGTCTATCAGCGTCGATTGCTAGTTGTATGCCAACGTTGCATGAATCCGTTGTAAGAAGTAGAGTTCTCGAAAATGCTAGTGGCATGCAACTTTGCATTCTCTGTCGAAATCTATGTGCCAACATCTACTTTTATATGCGGTGTACTATATCGATATTACACAACTTAAAAACTTTTCTACTTTGCTGTAGCATGATACGTATATATTAAAATTCGGCAATTTTACTTTATTGTATCAATATTTTACATGTTTGGTTGTTTTTTTTTAGTATTATATTCTTAAATGAGATCAATTATTTATTATAATGCAACTTGTATAATTATAAGTGCATGTAAATTTTTTGCACAGGTAACTGTAATGATATAAAATTTATGTTTAATGCACACACGTATATATGTGTACACGCACATTACATGGATTTCGATGTTATTTATGTATATATTAGTTTATTTTTAATTTTATAGTTACATGTAGCGATCGACGATTCATGGTGGATCGATCAGGATATTGTTAGCAATTTCTTTCAACTTCGCATTCTCCTTCACTTCAAAAGACTACAGCTGAAATCGCTTGTGCATTTATCGCATATTCGTTTTTTATCATCAAATCGACATCATCTTATCCTGACGTTATATATTTCTTTTCAGCGGCAATTTACGGATCAAACGTAGGAGTTGATACAAACTTGTATCCAGTGCAGTAAGACTGAGGCGCGTTTATCTTTCTCGTTAGTGCGAACAAATCTATGTTTCGTTTTTGTGTAATCGCTATTCCAAAACACAAAAAAATACATTTTCATACAATCCCCAAAAAATCTTTCCTTTTACATAGTTGAAATATTTATAATAATCATTAAACATGAATGCTTCTCTCATTTAACTGCAGCTTACCTCGCGCACGTTGCGCTGTTTGTTATCAACCACGAGTGGATTTATTCAACAAATAAATCTCAACTGAATTGAATATACAATTGAATTATACTGGAATTTTAAAGTGTAATTTTTTTTTAACTAAAATATAAGACTCTCTTTACTCGACTTATCGAATTTTATTTTCAATAAAAATATTATTTTATAATTGATTTTGGAATCGTAAAAAAAAAACAATTTTTAAAAACAAAGTTAAAAAAAATCCACGCGTGTTTTCAAGTTATGCTCAATTAACGCCGAAGCTATTGCACAAGGCGAATCAACACGAATGGCTCTACATATCACTTTGTTTTTTTTTTTTTTTATACTTATTTCCTTTTCATTCTTAACTTTCTAAGCTCTTTATATCGCGTTGCACTCCCTCGCGAAATCAACGAATAAAAAAATTCTGCGAAAAACTGATTTATTCGCGAGGACGCTCGCGCAGATAATCAATTCTGTCATCAGAAACGAGCTCTGACTCCGATGTTCTCTTTGTTTTTTACGTGTAAAAGTGGAGGCAGTGGCTGCCACGGGAGTCATCCGAAAAGAGGGCCCGTACAACAATGGTCGCGGTGACCAAGAGGCCAAGACGAAACAATCGCATTAAGAAGGCCCAAGCGCGCGGGACGTGTACCTGTTGTTGTTGTGCCACTTCTACTTCCTCCTTCATCGCGGATGCGATTTTATGCGCCATAAACCGGCCAAATTGTACGCTCCGTCTTCGCGCCTGCGAATATTAATTCCGGGTGTGGATGCATTTGTGAAATTTAGAGACTGTGTAATAGGAATACCCTTTTGTGAGGGCGTAGTAAGTACAGATGGGTTTGGTGCATGGGCCCGGAAACACGGAACCGACCCGATCTTATCTTTCTCGAGCAAAGAGAAAACGATTTATTTTTCCCCCGATTATATTTTATCTTTCCTTGTGCAGTGGAGTAATTACGAAAATTGACCATGCAACGTGCAAATCGAGAACTTCCTAAAATAGATATTACAAAAGAGGAAGCGTTCTGATTGTTGTACCGCATTGGCGCAATTACATCACTGTTATATTCAACTCCGACTTTTCATTCCTCACCTCCGCCGGAATTATCTTTTGGCTAAACTTCTGGTCACGACATGCTTCTCGTTGTTTTCTTTTGATTACATGCTAATAGAATTTAGCGCTTTTTCGACACAGAAGTCTAGCCTGATTGTCTTTGTCTCTAATCCTCTGTTTTTTACTTGATATGATATGTTTCGCAAGCCCTTCACCAACCCTTCTCACATAGAATTAGGACTATAGACTAGAAATGATCTAACGATTCGTAGAGAAATTAACGACGTAGCCGCGTGAGTCGAGAGGACAGAAGTTACAAGGGGTTTTTTTCTTACCCTCACATCGTGGAACGGACGCGATCTCTGTCATCTCGCGAGATTTCGAAGTTGCATCGATCAGACTCTTCTACTTCTCGATTTCTGCGCACTCGCGCAACATTAGTTTGAACGTCGGAGTCTTTGCGTAACGTCTTCTATTTTCTTTTTTTGTTTAGAGTATTTTTTTTCTTTTTTGCTTAGAGCTTGCATGTTTTAAGTAACTTGATTTGTTGATTGATATGGTTGGTATGATGTGATTCTTTTTCCTATTGCTCTCACAATAATCGCTCACAAGTGATGTTCTTTTTTTTTTCAGTAGGATAGAGTTTGGGCAATGTAAATGTATGTACATAGATAGCTTTTTTCGCGTTAGAAAGCAAATTATACATAGAAACATAAAAAATTAAATTTCTGTAATTACATATTACGCACAATGTGAATCAATATCTTGTGTTACCAAGTAACTTACAAAAATATTGAACTTTGTGTTTGGAAAATATATTGACATTTTTTTATTTATTTACTTATTTTCTTTAAAAATTACATCAGCAACAAATTACATTATTATTATTTTTGCAATAAACTGTCAATAACGTCTTTTGTGGCTTGTGAAGTTTACAGAAATATAAAATTTGCAATTTAGTCACCGATCGCTTTGAACGAGATGCGTAAAATTTCATTTTATAATTAACAATATTTCTTTTCCAATTCAGGAGGCAGTTACGGTGCTGGGAATGTCGGCGGAAGTACGAGAAGATCGCGGCTGGAGCGGTCGAATCGTGATCGGGGCGATCGCATAGATCACGACTACGAGGAGAACCACGACGTCGATTACGGTAGTGCCTCGAGACGTCGCCAGCAGCAGGACTCGCGTGCTCATAATGCTATTTAGGAGCTGGGGCCCCGGGGCCTGTCGCTACAGCGCTGTCCCCACCTGCGCACCACCGCTTTATAGCGGGCTCGTCTCCCGCTAAAAAGGTACCGAACGCTAGGAAGTGCGCAACGCTACCTCGCGATAAGATCGCTGCGCTCTGTTAGTGGGGCTGTTTCCTGTCGCGCTACTTTAGAGAAAAGAAACGAGCGGAAGAAAACATAGAAATCCGGATCGGCTGAGACATGCCACATCAGCGCGTTTAGAAGACGCTACCATATGTATATCGATTCTATTCCAGACGCACCTCGACGATCTCGAAACCGTTGACGTTTTCTTTCAATTGGATAATCTCGTTATATCGATATGTTAGTCAGTCGCCAGCAAACGTGCACGCTAAAATCCCGGAAAACGTTTCGTGTGTTGCTTTTTATTCGCGCCTCTTTTGCAAAAGAAAATAAGTTGTAGATTTTATTGTTGTTTAATCAGAGAATAATAATTTTCTCTTATAATTGCAAATTGTAATTGTTGAAAGATGTTTCGACATGCGCATGTATCTTTATCTTCCAAAGCTTTTTGCATTCGCATCGAACATGTCGCCACTGAAATGGTCACTGCTAATTGTACTTATTAGCCACCGAATATTTCAATATTGTTTACAATCATTGCTCGATGATTGTACGATTATGCTTTGTTAATAATGAATCGGCAAAGACGTTTCGATGATCGAAAAAAACGATGAAAAATATTTTCTCATTCTTCTTCTGAAATGCTACCGGTTACTTGTGGCGTGCATGGTTATCACGATTGTTTGTTCATTCTCAATTCGCTTATTGTCAAACTACGTACAAAGACTCGGAGCCAAAATCGCTGAGTTTTTTCAGCGTTATTATCAATTCCACATAATCCGCACACACGTCATCTGTATGTACAAACATACTGTCACCTTTGTATGTGTCTTGCTCCTCCAACCAAATGATTCCAGCCAATCAATGTTCCAGTCAACGTCACAACAAGCGCGTATCACTCCAGCGATGTCATCCGCGATCGTAGAGAGTTACGTCGCTCATTAATCAACACATCAACCACCGAACTACTATCCACACGCACAAATATCATCGAAATATATACTTGCCTGATGACATATATATATATATACACATATATATATACATATATATTACGCTTAAGAGCTCTGTGTCGGGAGAACATGTCAATCATTGTAAACCATTACCGTACTACGCTAAATATGTCAACTGCTCACGTAATGATTACTGACCATGACGAGATGCACGCTATATGTATATATGGCATCCTTTCGAAACTCTTCTACTTTTCACGATTAAAAAAAAAAAAAAAAAAAAAAAAAAAAAAAAAAAAATAAGATACCGTTACGAAATAATTCTTTATAAAA